CAACAGGACTGAGCTAAATGAGACATTGGGGGCAGGGTCCCCATCATCCCGTCTGGTTGGGACACAAATCAGTTTCAGATTTTTTAAAAATGAGGTATTTTTATCAAAGTAAAATGCTAATATCAAGAAATAAAAATAAGTTATTGGCCTTCTCTGAGACCCAGATTCCTTCTTTATAAAACAAGGAGGTTAGACTGGATGGTTCTTAAGGGCCATCCCATCCACGTTCCATGCTCTAAGGCCTCTCCCAGATGTAATGTTCTACGTTCTGTCTTCCTGGGGTTTCCCAACCTGTGACTCCAGGTTATTTCCCCCCCCCCCACTAGGCCCCTCTGCTTCCCATCTCGTCCTACACTCCCCTAAGCCCTTCCCACGCTCAGCAGTGCCCAGAACTCACCAGGCTCCGTGTGGCCCCGGGCCACGATGCTGTGATACCCTGGTGGTGGCTGCCGAAGGCCAGAGTCATCTTGGGTGATGTGGTGCTCCTGGCCCAGAGCCACCTCACTCAGGAACATGAGGCCCATTTTTTGAGAGGTGCAGCCCACTGCAGGACAGGGAACTCTGGTCAGATCCCTGAGCTCTGCCCTGTCCTGGGCACAACCACAGATAGCATGGACAAGCACCCTACTAGGAGATGAGACAGGGAAGGGATGGAATGGGATAAAAGATAATTCTCATGAACTTGGGGGTGGAGGCATCAGATGGAGCTTTCATGCAGGGGTGCTTACATGGATAGAGTGAAGGTTTGAAGGGGATAGAGAAGTTATCACCAACGATTGCCCAAGAAGCCAACTGGATCCTCCTGGACAAGGGAGGGATCAGGCAAGCTTGGATTGAGAAGCTCAGGGCAGCCAGGTGCATTGGCCAGTTAGCCCAAGGCATCTCTCTGGCTTCTGTATATCACAAATTTTACTCTTACTCTCTCATATAAATAAATTTCTTGCTAACACGCTCAACTGAGCCTTGGGTCCTGAAGAGGGTAAATGTCTAACGAAATAAACATGGTGGTGGTGGTGGTGGTGGTGGTGGTAGACAGCACAGGTTGGAGGCAGGCTAAGGATAAGGG